AGAACTGCAAATTCTGCAAACATTACTAATAAAAATATTGAAGAGAATGGGTACCCCACTAATAACTAGACCTTGCTTCAAATATACTCGATTCACTACAACTCTCTGTTGTCTGTCACTCAGCCACTGCCTAACCCATTCTCTTGTTTTCTTACCTCTAAAGTGAACAGGACCCAGCCTAGATTTCTCACTATATTGACTATAATGAGCATATACTGTATACTGTAAATTCCTGGGGCACTAACAATAGCTAGGTGTTTTAAATCACACAGTAAATAATTTTGTAGAATCACATGACACATCAGAAACAATTGCACAATATAGTATCTAGACTAGATTTATCAATTACACAGGCACATGTCTACAGGCAAATGTCTTGAAAGGAAAACCTGTTTTCAGCACTTTAAAGGTGCCTGTGTAGAGCTTAAATGGTCTGGAGCCTTAACCAGAGTCCACTGTACTCCAGTCAGATTCTTGTGATTGATAACAGAGCTGCAGGAACAGTTTTAGAGGGTGTAAAATTCAACACTGTCCCAGCTCCTCCAATGTCTGTGTGTGAGGCTGAACAGGAAGTGAAATAGGTCACTTCCCATATGCCCACAGCCTCTCACACAGGAAAAGCCTTGCAGGAGGAGCAGGGACAACACTAAGTGATACATACTGTAAAACAGCTACTGCAGCTCTTCTATCAGTCATTTGTGCTCACTGAACTACAGAATGCAAAAATGATAGTAGGAGCTGCACTCAATCCCAGCAGCCACCCGGTGCTCTGGAGCAGGACCAGCAATCCCACAACGACAAGGCAACAAAGAGATTCCCCAGGCACTGAAAGTGCTAAAGCCGCTAGCAGTTTTAATGAAACAAAAAAGAACAGCAACGTTTCGACCTCCTAAGAGGTATTTTTCAAGCTTGAGCTTAAATGATCTGGAGGTTGAAACGTTGCTGTTCTTTTTTGTTTCATTAAAACTGTCAGCAGCTTTAACACTTTGAGTGCCTGGGGAATCTCTTTGTTGCACTGGACTACACAAGTCATTCAGCATACTTAATACTATCTCTACACCCTGTTCCAAGTTCAATTTTCCCCACCCCTTCCTGTCAAGGCCGCACTTTGACTGACAGACGCACACACTCACTGATAGATGCATACACTCATTGACAGATGCATACATTCATTGACAGACACACACTCTCATATACACTGACAAACAATGACATACACACACTCACTGATTTGACACACTGATAGACAGACATACACTTACTCGGACACACACTCACTGACAGACACACAGTCTCACTGACAGACGCACGCACTGACTGACAGACACACACACTGACTGACTGACACATACACACTGACTGACAGACGCATGCACTGACTGACCGACACATACACACTGACTGACTGCCAAATACACACTGACTGACAGACGCACACACTGACTGACCGCCAAATACACACTGACTGACAGACGCACGCACTGACTGACAGACGCAAGCACTGACTGACCGACACATGCACACTGACTGACAGATGCACGCACTGACTGACCGACACACACACTGACTGACCGACGCACGCACTGACCGACCGCCAAATACACACTGACCAACAGACACACGCACTGACTGACAGACGCACGCACTGACTGACCGACACATACACACGGACTGACCAACACACACACATTCACTGACAGACACATACACTCACTCAAATTCACTGACACACACATTTACTGAAACACACACATTCACTGACAGACACACACACTCACTCACATTCACTGACACACACACTCACTGACAGACACACACACACTCACATTCACTAACACACACATTCACTAACACACACTCACAATTATTATTATTTTTTTTAAATTTAAATCCACCCAGCCTCCCTACTTTTGGGATAGCTGGGTGGATTTCTCACCTGGGGTCCAGTGGGGCTGCTGGGCATGGAGGCGGCCGGATGTGAAGGCAGGCAGTGGTTTCCTGGGCGGCGCTGGTGAGGGAGCACTTTCACCCTGAGCTCTCTGCTCAGCTCCCTACTGCGACCCACAGTAATGCCGGGAGCCGGAATATGACATCATATTCAGGCTCCTGGCATTACTACAGGTCGAGTGAGGGAGCTGAGCAGAAAGCTCAGGGGAAAGTGCTCCCTCGCAGGCAACCCGCCCGCCTGCCCCGGGGGAGCCCAAAGGTGGCCAGCCGGCCACCTCTTGGGCTCCCATAATACGAGGCAAACAAGACATTTGCCCTGGGCATTTGGGGGCGGCGTTTTTTGCCGCCCCTGGAAAGTGCCACCCAAGGCAAATGCCTTGTTTGCCTAGTGGTACACACACCCCTGCGCACAGTAAGTTTCAAAACACTTTATAGATTGTAAAGAACTGAAAATTGTCATTTGTTGTGTTTGCAGCATATTTACTGAAATCAAAAGCTATTTCAATAATACTTATAACAACATTTTAACCTTTTAAACATTTTAACAGGTTACGTTACATTTTAACATAGGACCCCTTATTTGATAGCAGCTTCACAAGTCTTGCATCCATTGAACTTGTGAGTTTTTGGAAAGTTTCTGCTTGAATTTGTTTGCAAGATATCAGAATAGTCTCCCAGAGCTGCTGTTTGGATGTAAACTGTCTCCCACCCTCATAGATCTTTTGCTTGAGGATGCTCCAAAGGTTCTCAATAGGACTGAGGTCAGGGGAGAATGGAGGCCACACCATGACTTTCTCTCCTTTTATCCCCATAGCAGCCATTGATGCAGAGGTATTCTTTGCAGCATGAGATGGTGCATTGTCATGCATGAAGAGGATTTTATTACGGTAAGCATAGTTCTTCCTTCTGTACCAGGGAAGAAAGTGGTCAGTCAGTAGCTCCACATACTTTGCAGAGGTCATCTTTACACCTTCGGGGACCCTAAAGGTGCCGCCCAGCTCTCTTCCCATGATTCCGGCCCAAAACATGACTCCACCACCACCTTGCTGACGTCGCAGCCTTGTTGGAACAGGGTGGCCGTCCGTCCACCAACCATCCACTACTCCATCCATCTGGACCATCCAGGTTTGCACGGCACTCATCAGTGAACAGGACTGTTTGAAAATTAGTCTTCATGTATTTTTCTGCCCAATGCAGCCGTTTCTGCTTGTGAGCAATGGTTAGTGGTGGCCGAATAGAAGGTTTATGCACAGTTGCAAGACTCTGGAGGACTCTACACCTTGATGTCCGTGGGACTCCAGAGGCACCAGCAGCTTCAAATATCTGTTTGCTGCTATGTAATGGTATTTTAGCAGCTGCTCTCTTGATCTGATGCATGGATCTGGCAGAAATCTTCCTCAATGTGCCTTTATCTGCACGAACCCGTCTGTGCTCTGAATCAGCCACAAATCTCTTAATAGTGCGATGATCACGCTTAAGTTTCTGTGAAATATCTAAAGTTTTCATACCTCGTCCAAGGCATTGAACTATTTCACTCTTTTCGGCAGCAGAGAGATCTTTTTATTCCCCATATTGCATGAAAATGGTGCTCTGCTTAGTAATGAGGAACACCCTCCTTTAGTAGTTTTTCCTTAAATTGGGCTCATCTGGCAATCTAATTATCACAGGTGTCCGAGATTGATTTCAGTGATCAAAAGAGCCCTGAGACACAATGCAATCCATGAGTTAAACTGAAAAACTAAATATTTCATCTTTGTGACACTTAAATAGAATTTGCATAATAATTTTGAACAGGGTGTATTATCAATAATCCCAAACACCCCTGTACCCAAATACTCTAATCCTAAAATGCAGTTATCAGATATTTTATATATTCTTATACACATTTTCATGCCTGAAATGGCCAGTTTTTAAATTACTTAACTTCACTTTATCTGCATTTTCTTTTTATGGGGGGGAAAGAGCAGGGAGCCATTTTGAATTTGGTGCCCACAGGCATTTAGATCTGATACTGCTGTCATATACTTATCATAACTCTGAGTAACAAATTGCCTTTGACAGATTAATTATTTTAAGAATTCATCCAATATTTCTAAATGTACTTTGGGGTAAATTAGGAAATAATTACATTATATTTGCAAAAATGTATTTTAATGCACAATTCCTGTGTTATGAATTTGAGTTTTGTATTTTTTTTTTACTGTTCTGTGTTGTACACTGTAATGTCCTGTTTAAAGAACGATATCACTATGATCTGCATTGGTCTAATGCCTAACTAAACAGTGTGATTTGTCAAAGCATACACTGAAAAGCAATGTTTAAAAAAATCTCCTCCAAGAGAAATAGAATTCAGGAACTCAAATAAAGTCCAAAGAACCAAATGCCAGAATAAATAGCATTACTCAAAAAACCTCAAAAGGTAAAATCCTTTTATCAAAGGCATAGTATAATAAAACACAAAACAACAAAAAATGTGCAAACAAGAAAACACATTAACATTTGTCTTCAAGGACCACTATAGTGCCAGGCAAACAAACTTATGTTAATTGGTCCCCCCCACCCTCATGGCCCCCCTCCTGCCAGGCTGAAGGGAGAGGAATGGGTTAAATCACTTACCTTTCTCGAGCGCCGGGCTGCCTCGGCGCTGGGGACTCTCCTCCTCCTTCGGACATCATCGGCTGAATGCGCATGCACGGCAAGAGCCGCGCGCACATTCAGTCAGTCTATAGGAAAGCATTGCCCGGTGGTCTGCAGTGGCCGTGGGCTGAGGCCGGCAAGGGAGATCACAGGATCTCCCCTGTCAGCCCCTGCAGGGCCAGCGCTATCCGAGCGCCGGCCCCACTGTGTGCCTTCATGGGCCGGTGGGGAGATCAAAGATCTCCCTCACTGGCCCAGAGGCACTGACATGCGGCCGCCGGCTGGGGAGTGAGGGAGGCAGGAGAGGATGGGCGGAGCTCTAGCCAGCAGCTCCGCCGGATCCTCTCGCGAGGTCTGAGCATGTCAGTGCTCTGGAGGGTGCTGGAGGGTGCTGCCTTCCCTGGTGATCCAGTGGTGAGAGTGAACTCTAGCCTGCAGGCTAGAGTTCACTCTCGCGAGATCTGAGCGTTGCCGTGGTAACCGAGATCTGAGCGTTGCCGTGGTAACCGAGATCTGAGCGTTGCCGTGGTAACCGTTGCCGTGGTAACCGTTGCCGTGGCACCGCTCAGATCTCGCGAGAGTGAACTCTAGCCTGCAGGCTAGAGTTCACTCTCACCACTGGATCACCAGGGAAGGCAGCACCCTCCATGGCACCACGGCACCCCCCCATGGAAACCCGGCTTCCCACCCCATCCCAGGCTAAAGGTAAGAAGGGAGGGGGGGATACATAGTTTTTAGTTTTTTTAAATAAAAAAAAAACATATTTATACAAACACTGTGCTATATACACTCACACTAAGAGCACTCACACACAGCACACTCATACGAACATCACCCTCAGACAGACAGCACACACACACAGCACCCTCAGACAAAGACACACACAACACCTTCACTCACACAGCACCCTCAGACATACACACACACACACACACACACACAGCACCCTCAAACACACACCACCCTCAGACACACACACACACACACACACACACACAACACCCTCACACACACACACACACACACACACAGCACCTTCAGACACACACACAGCACCCGAAGACACACACACACTCACACAGCACCCTCAGGCACACACATCACCTTCACTCACACAACACACTCACAGCCAGCACACACACACACACACACAGCACCCTCAGACACACACACACACACAGCACCCTCAGACACACACATCACCTTCAGTCACACAACACACTCACACACAGCACACTCTCACACATATACAACACACACACATGTATGTATACTATATAAAATAATCCTCAGTAAGTTAACAGACAAGAAAAATTAGAAACATAGAATGTGACACCCTCACACACACAGCACCCTTCTTACACACACAGTGCAATCCTCACACACATGCTGCCCCCTTCACACATACACACAGCACACACAACACACTGCGCCCTTAACACATACAATACGTTCATATATATATATATATATATATATATATATAACAAAAATCAATATGAAAGGAGCACTCACAGGTCTTCATATGGATATTGATTTATTCCAAGGTGCAAGTTACATGTGCAATCGACGTTTCGACCCTCACAGGGTCTTCTTCAAGATCAAATAACCAGTGAAACAGGTAAGTATATATACACAAACAAATATACATTAATAACTTACCAACAGGTGTGTGGGAAACTAAAACCGCCAAATGTCCGAAAACCGGAAGTATTTCTCGTGATCATGTGATCCTCTATACATCCTCTATCATTATGTGACCAATCCGCCCTCTGTGTATCCAGTTACAAACTATGTGAATACCTGAAAACGCCGGGCATCCGAAACCCGGAAGTACCTATGCGGTCACATGGTCTGGTTGCCAAGCAACCTACAACGCTATCCCTGTGTGTAACTACGTAAATCCGCCGGGCATCTGAAACCCGGAAGTGCCCATGCGATCACGTGATCTAGTTACCCGGCAACCTACAACGCTGCCACTGTGTACAATCTGGCGATGTGAAAATATGTGTCATCTATAATATAAGCATAACAATTACAAAAAGTGACAAAATGCTACAAAATAAATAAACTAAATAAAAATATATACATATATACAAATGTACAAATGTACATATATATGTATATATATATATGTATATATATATATATGCATCTCTATCCACAGGAGGATCTCAATAGTTAATATGGTAATCACTACTTATTAATGTAGAGAAGGCACTTCCCAATGTCAATTTATACAACAGAACATAGGATCTAATAACCCATATCCAACATCTGCAATTTAAAGCCACACAGAGCTATTTTTTCAAATTCCTTAATTGCTAACACTGAACTCTGCTCACCACAAACATAAATAATCTAATATACCTATTTAATTACAATCTATACCTAATTACCTCACTAAATCTTACTTAAAGATGTACACCCTATATTACCAAATATTACTTGTTCTAAACGATGATCTCATCCATAATATTACAATGATCCACTAACTAGTGCACACAATAACCACAACCTACAGTACAATTTACAAAAACATAGAGAATGTATTATATTCATTCAATCCTTTAGGTGTGACAGTGTCCAATTTAAAAATCCAATACGCTTCTCTTTGAAGCAAATGTTTGGACCTGTTACCACCCCGAGGTAATGGGGGGACATGGTCAATAGCCACAAATTTAAGAGTCGGAAGTCTATGTGAAGCAGCCAGAAAATGCTTAGCTACTGGCTTATCTGTTCTTTGATCCCTGTATGTTGTCATAATGCCAGATCTGTGTCCACGGATACGATCCCTTAAAGTTAGGTCTGTTTTCCCCACATACGACAGACCACATGGGCATGTTATAAGATATATTACATGGTCCGTAGTACATGTAATATAGTGGGATATTTTAATTCTTTTCCCACTATGTGGATGGACAAAGGAATTCGCTGGCACCATATGGCTGCAGGTTACACAGCCACTGCATCTAAAACATCCTGGCTTATTATATATTTTACTCTTCTTGTAACACTGAATGGGATCATTACGAATCAGAATATCTCTAAGATTACGGTTTCTTTTATAGCTAATAACCGGATTTATTTTAAACAAAGGAGATAAGTGTTTGTCTGAGCCTACTATAGCCCAGTGTATATATGTATTTATATGTGTTTGGACGTATTGTATGTGTGAAGGGCACAGTGTGTTGGGTGTGCTGTGTGTATGTGTGAAGGGTGCAGCATGCATAATATTATTATTATTATTATTTACATTAATATAGCGCCAACAGATTCTGTAGCGCTTTGCAATATTATATATTACAGCACCACTACACACATTACACACTCCAGATACACTCTAGATCCCTTACTCTATATACACTCTGAATCCTCTATACACACACACACACAATCTCCTATACACACTCTGGGTCCTTTATGTCATGCGTATCTCTTCCGGCTTCGGCATTCCCGCTATGCAGAGCCGGCCCCGCCCCCTTCTGACGCGGCTCTCTGACACTACTTAGAGAGACCGCGCCAGAGAGAAAGCGCCTGGTGATTGTGGGACCTACTTCCGGGCTCCACAAGCCGGCTCCACAAGCTTCTCTCACAAGTCTTCCTAAACCTTTGAAGATAAAAGGATTATGCTTCATCCGCTAGAGGATTACTGGAGAATGGGCACTCTACCATTTAACAAGTGGACTCTAATACTGATCTCTTGGAGGACTACTCACATTAATCTTAAGTATAACTTCCAATTTATTATCTGGAATCTCAGTTATTAATGAACTGTTTCTTGCTTGCTCAAATCCTTTCTGCTGCATACACACTAATTATATTGAGGATAACTCCCATCAAGCTTAACCACTATGAACTGTTTCTTGCTTTGCAAATATTCTCTGCTACCTGCATACTATTTCTATTGAAGATTATTCCTATCAACCTAAAGAATATTATTCAATACATCTCTGAGGAAATACTTATTGATGAACTTTGTATTGTTTGCTATAACCAGCAATTTCTTCTTATTGAATTATTACCTATATGCTTTTCACTTAAGTTTATCACAATCATTAAAACTTCGTTTGATTCTCTAATTGCCAGCAATCCTCTCTTTTTTTAAAGCTACAGTATTGATAATTTAAAGATTCTCCGTTTCTTCACTATTGTAATTAAGGAGTTCCAATTCTAAAAACCCTAGTAGCATAACACTTTACACACAAGATTCCCTACACACACTGCACCACCTACACACACTACATTCCTGACATACAAACTCTGGATCCCCTATGCACACACTACATTCCTTGTAAGCAAACACATACTACATTCTCTAAACACACACTCTCTACAACCCCTACACACACTACATCACCTATACACACACTCACTACATCCCCTATACACACTATGCCCCCTATAAACCCTCGCTACAGCCCCTTGCCACACATATTACACCACAAACACAAATTAAATGTACCTATTTACACAATACCACACCACAATCAGCTTACTCAACACACACGCAATCCCACAAGCAGGCTCCAAACACATGCACCATATGCTTTTCTGGCCCTTTTGTCCTCTGGTATCCCACTTATGGAGACACCAGAGACAAGTTAAAAGCAAACACAGTGCAAGCAAGTTTTTAAATTTGCTTGCGTTGCACAGAACAAATACAGGACCTTTTTCCCAAGCTAGAGCTCTTCAGCAGGGCTCTGCGCATTGAACTAACATGCTCACTTTGAGAGGGTGTGCTTGTCATTAGTGATGACAAAACACACCCTCTCTGGCCCCGCCCCTTTCTCAGGGATCCGCTGTGATTGAAAAATGCTCAGCTAAATTTTTTCCCCAGTCCGGCCCTGCTAGCGGCTGTCAATGAGACAGACACTAGAGGCTGAATTAACCCTAAAGTAAACAGGTGTTTACAGCAGGCAGGGTTAATCCTAGATGGACCTGGCACCCAGACCACTTCATTAAGCTGGGTGCCTATAGTGGTCCTTTAAGGTCTATTATGTCTATCTATCTATCCGCCCATCCTCTTATCCATCCATCTATCTATGTATTATCTAAGAGAGAATAATACCATTGTAAAACATTCTTCTTATAATTTAAAATTCCAAGATTTTACTATTAACATGATGTAAAGTAATGTATTAATGATACAGAGGCGAGTATTATGCTGCATTCTTTATTTCCCTAAGCAGCTAAGAACAAAAAATGAAAAATCAGTATAACAACACATATATAACATGAGAGGTGAATCTCCCCAGCAACACGAACAGCCAATCAGCATCCTTTCCTTGGTATAATAGGCGGTGCCTAGTAAATGACTTCCTCTTTCTTGCGAACCTGATGATCAAAAGAAAATAATAATCCAGCGAGAATGCCAGGAACAGGAAAACAACTCTGAAGAAGAAAGCCATGTCAGACCATCAAAAGTGGCCTCAAACTTAGCTGGAAGTGAGAAGACAATATGGTAATATCTAAGCAGAAACTGCATGTATTCATGGTAAGCAAGATAAATGAGTCAAGGTTTAGTGAAGGCTTTAGACTCAACGTGAAAGAAACAAACACTTACCGTGAATAAAAACTTATACAGTCAGAAAAATCATCCTGGAACAGGA